TCTCTCCAGCCCACACCGCTCCTTTTTTAAAAAAATTTATTTATTTGTGTGTGTGTGTGTGTGTGTGTGTGGCCAGCTCAGCCCACCAGGGGGCGGGGCCAGCTGGCATGTGGTGCTGGGGATTGAACCGCGGTCCCTGTGCTTTGCTAAGCTTGTTCTAAGTAGGTGCTTTAGACCACTGTGCCATCTCACCAGCCCCAAAGAGCACTGTTGCAGTTTTTTTTGTTTTGTTTTGTTTGGCAGAACTAAAGATTGAACTCAGGGCCTTGCACTTGCCAGGGAAGTGCTTATTCCACTGAGCCATCTCCCGGGACCCTGATATGATTCTTTTTTATGCACTATGGTGCAATATTTTATTTCCTCCAAAAAATTTATTCTAATGTAACATCTTTTATGCTTAAGACCTTTTATTGATTATTCAAGTGATAAAACTTCAATAAAAATATGAATGTAAGTTTCAATTTAGAACTTCTAAGTGTTCTGTGATTTTAGGCTATTCTTATTTTTTAAATTCTAAATTATGCCATTACAATTTTCACCATATAACTGATAAAAATGTTGTTTTAATGTAGAAATCCAGAAGGTAAATTTTTATTGGAAATACGTATCATAATGAGCAACATGGGGCTTTTCTTTTCCCTTCAATTAATTTTTATGTCTGTGAATAAATATTACTTTTTTTACTAGAATGAGCTAGAGCTTAGTATTGATGCTTCTCCTTGTTTTATTTTTAGAAGTAAGTACTGAGAAATCTTACTCAAACAGTAAGAAGATGAAAAAGGTAGGAGTTTTCTTATAGTCATATGCTGAGTTTAGTGGACTTATGAAAACTTCAGTCACAGTTTATTACAGGGAAAGAATATAGATTAAAATCAGTTAAGAGTTACACGGAGGAGAGCCAAGAGCATTTCTCACATGGAGCCCCCAGTTACCCTTTCCTACTGGAGCTGTGCACAATGCCGAATTCTCCCACAGCAGTGTGTGAAATAATGTGGACAGCCCCGGGAGCTTCCTGGGCTTCGGAGTCCGGGGCTCTGTAGGGCTCAGACTTACCGGTGTGACTGACTCCCCACGTGGCCGACTGTAGTTTCCAGCTCTCAGAGGTCCAGTTAATAATATGTGACCTTCTCTGTAAATCTGGCGTAGTCTGTCTGACATTGCCCACAGCCTCCAGATAGAACAGAGACTAGAAGCTGGCAGGACATACCAAGGGCCTAGCACTTACCTTGCAAGAGTCAAGGGCGAGGGCCGGGGAGATGGCTCAGTAGAATAAGCGCTTCCCTGGCAAGCGCAAGGGCCTGAGTTCAATCCCCATTTCCACCAAAAAAAAAAAGGAGTCAAGGACAAAGATCTTTCCTTCTCTGTAGACCAGATTAGTTCTTTACCACATAACATGTCACTCAATCACTTGAACTCAAACTAGGTCTTTGTGATACCTAGTTTGAAGGCTACTTATCAATGAGAAAATTTTGCTGTTGGCTTTGATGTGTTGTTAACTTACACATGTGTTGTTAACTTAACACACCAAAAATTATATAGCAACTTGTCATGAAAAGAATACTTTAGTAATGAGCTGACAATTTAGTCAGTTCTGTTAAAAGCAGAGAATTGCAAAGGGATTTGTTACTTATTTATTCAAGTCTAATGAGATGCTAATATTTTGAAAGATCCTTTTGATGCTTCTGTAGTTCTCATGGTTTGGAACAATGTAGATTGCGTGTGGGTGAAAGGTAAACATTTTATAAAGGAAGAGAAGGGCAGTTATCTCAAGGGAGAGAAAGGAGAGTAAGCTTTACAGTTCAGGCACATGTGCTTTTTGAACAGGGAATATAGGTAAGTTGATAAAGTAAAAATTCCCTTAAAACTACAGTGGGTGTATACTTCTGGGACAGTCTTTGTGTAAAGCTAGAGATACCTAGTTTGAAGGCTACTTATCAATGAGAAAATTTTGCTGTTGGCCTTGGTGTGTTGTTAACTTACACATTGAAAACCTCATGTCCAGAAGATCATGTTAAAGGCTGAGGCAGAGGTGGTATGGAAGAAATAAATTCACTGAATGTAGGACATAGTTCCTGCCTGCAAGAATCCATAGTCTCCTTGGGGAACCTGAGTTAGTCACCGAAAGACTGGTGGTTGCTACATGGTCAATAACCGCATAAAGAAATAAGTGGTCTTCACAGCTGTCAGTGGGTCAGCTCTAGGCGTGAAAGTAACAGTATGATGACAAGGTTAGAATTCAGGAAGACGTTGGTGCATCCAGATTTCAGAGGACTAGGGAAGAGAGTAAGAAGGGCACTGTGGGCCCTGCGGCAGCCATATGAATATGCTTAAAAGCAGATTTGTATTAGATTCTTCTCCAAATTTCTCTGTGTTAGCTGGACAGGTTATCCTGGGAAAGTTCCTAGACTTGTGTAAACTTTGGATTTCTAGTCTATGAAATGAAGCTAATACCTTGTGGAATTAGTCTGAGTATCAGGTTATATCTGTAAGTTCCAAAGTTTTGTAGCCTTCCAGGGCTACCTTTTCCATTGGTAACCAAGTGTGTATAATTGAAGTACTGTCATATATGAATAGGTTTGTGAGCCCTGGCTCTCAACTTTGAAAATCTCTCCTTGGGCCAGGGAGATAGCTAAGTGGCACAGCACCTGCCTGACAAGCACAAGGCCCTGAGTTCAGTTCTAGGGAAGGAAGGAAGGAAGGAAGGAAGGAAGGAAGGAAGGAAGGGAGGAAGGGAGGAAGGAAGGAAGGAAGGAAGGGAGGAAGGGAGGAAGGAAGGAAGAGGGACCGGGGAGATGACTCAGTGGAATAAGCACTTCCCTGGCAAGTGCAAGGGCCTGAGTTCAATCCCTGGTTCTGGA